AACTTCCAGCAGCCAGGAGTCTGCAGTCACAGGGCTGCACACACCATGAGCCCACCCTGTGTGGCTGGATCCTACTTCTCCCACCCCCACAAGCAGCTCCGGCCATCTTCCTAATCCCAAAATGAAAACGATGCCAAGTAAGTATAACAGGCTGAACAATTTCTCAGCTCAAGAGATGTAAAACAAACTATTTCAGCAGAAAAATCAGAATGTTATACACACAGCTGGTTTGAAATGGAATTTCAAACAGAATTTCTCTTCATTTTAGAAAGCTGCAAAGAAGTTTCCTAGGATTTGATGGTAAAGTTGTACTCCTGGAACTGAACAATTGCCAAGGTACTGCAGCAGCTTCTGATGGAGGAACCTTCCCACCAAGAAGGGAAAAGGAGAAGACATGCACAGTCACAGAGAGAAACCATGAAAAGGTGAGAAGAAAGAATGCAGAAGAGCTCTTGAGATAACTGAGAAGAGAAAGTGCTGTCAAAGAGGTATCATTGCTTGTGACTGAGCCGGGCAGCTGTCAGGGAAAAAACAAACAGCTCAGGCCTTGAAAGAGAATCTGAGTTATTCACCAGCAATGCTGGAGGAGATACTGCTGGGGTGAGAGAGAGAGACCCAAAGCTACAGCATCTGGGCCCAAGCAGACACACTTCAACTCAGCATCAGATGCTTAGTTGATTAAAGCATCTGATGCTTTAATCAACTAAGCATCAGATTAAAGCTCTCTGACCTGCCTGAGCAGCCTTTGAAAACACCTCTGAAAACAGAGAAACCTCTGCTTTGCCTGACTGGACATCTACCTATTAAAGATGCAACTGCCAGTGGGACAGCCAGCTAAGGCACACGACAGCAAAATGCAGCCATGCATTCACCTGAATGAACCAGAGACACTCCTCAGTGTGCACCTGGGACACAGCTGGTCTTCTGACTGATTGCAACCCAATTTTTACATGCTTTTTTTCTGCATGCTTCTGTCAAGCCCCATTAGAGCTAGGAAACAGCAGCCTGTGAGCAGAGGAAGAGATGAGGAGGGGGTGACCCGTGGGAGGCCTCCCAGATGAAGCCATCAGCACCCTGGTAAGATTTTAGAGAAGAGGAACTATTTTTATGCTCTTTTGGTAAATGTTCCTGGCAAGGCATCCCTGCTCCAGCACAGCAAAAGAGCAGTAAAAGAAACTGAACTCCCAAACCCATTAGCCTTCCTGACATGTCAGCTCCATTTCCCCACTGCTCTCCACAAAGCTTTTACAGGCACATGATTTCGAGTTCCCCACAAAAAAACAGGGGCTTGCTCAAGTTCTGTGGTTGATATAATATTGGTGCAGCTAATTTAGTTTCCTCCCCCTGGTGTGCAGTCTGGGTGCTGCTGGTGCATTGTGGCCCAGCTGCAAGTCAGGCAGACACTGGCTGTGGGGAAGGGGTTGTGTCTGCCCAGCCATGTCAAAGGCCAAAAAAGGAAGCCAAGTTGTTGATTATGAACTTCATAAAGGAAATGATCAGAGATGAAAGCCAAACTTGGTTTAGGCTCTATCCTATGCTCTCCCCACCTTCCTTTGAAGCTAGGTTATGTTTATATTGTATTACTTAGCAACAAAGTGAAGTACACAAGCCCAAATAAGACTTGTAAACACAAATGCAACTACACTATAGACTTATCAAGGTGTGTCAGTACAGGATCACCGATTATTTACTTCCTATAGCTACATGATTACTGTGAAAATTTACTTTGAATTGATTCTCATCAGTTAGCATGTACAAATATCCTTCCTCCTCCAGCCTCTGCATTTCAAGTGATTCACAAACTAAAATTAGAATACTTTCCCTAAAAACACATAGAAATGAAAGACTGTCTAGTCTTCTTGCTGCTGAATATTAATTATCTATTCAATTGCATGTCTCCATTCTCTGCACTCTCTAAAGCAGAGAAAAGGTGCTTATCCAGATGAAACAATCCTCAAACATCTCTAAAACCAGGGCTATTGATTACTGTTTCTACAGCTGCAGAATGAAAGACACTGCAGTCTGAAAGTAAAGTGGTAGAAGTTCTTGCTCTATAACAAAGGAATTACAGGAGTTTAAACAAGACCCATATTTTCTTCCTTTATGGCCTCATACACCTCATCTTCTGCCACAAAAATAAGAATAATAAAAAAAAAATTCCTATGGTCCAGATATGTGTATGGCTTTCTCCTGTTGATCTGAATGCACATTTGTTCAAGGGCCATAACAGAAGAGATGTTGCTTTCTGTTCTGTAATTTCACCGTAGGCATCATCCACAACCAATCTTGCTAGACTGGAAAGATGTATCCGGTGTCTGTTATTGTTTTGTCATGATGAATTCCAGGAATAAATTAGGTTGTTGTATGTTTTTAATTATATTAAATCTCTGCTGCAAAGATATAGAGATTTTAAATGAGATTAAGTCTGCAAGATCCTGAGTTCCTGTAGATGACTCTACCATGTGTGCATCTCATGTTTGAAAAGGAGATGTTTGAAATACTTGCAAATATTGCACTGATATAGGCTGATTAACAAAATTATTTTTTGAATTCTTCTTGTACACTTATTAAAAACGTAATGGTTCACATTAGAAAGAATGATGCTATGCTTAAGATTATTAAGGCAGGGTTATAACTTGTTTTCTGGTCAGGGAATTAGTGTATCTATCATAATCCCTGTTTTAATTAGCCATGCTGACAACTGTCCCTCTTGAGCAACTTTCCTAAGCATTATTCAAAACTCAGGAACTGAGAAAGTTTAAATTAGCAGCCATTATTAGTTGTAAGGAAAATAACAGCCACTAAGTAAGCAGGTGCTGTAATACTACTGGCACAAAAGTAGCAGTGGACCCAATAAAGCTAATCTTGAGAAAATGAGCTGTGAGTCACAAGATGCCTGGCTGTGAATACTGGCACTTCTACTTCTCACAGCAACATTCCAGTAAAGTGACCTTTCTTTTACCCAGTTTTATGCTGTGTCATTTACCTGAATTGTAAAAAGTGAAGTGCTTGTATCCTCAGTACAGCTCAATGACTGATCTATGCCCTAACACATAAGAAATGTTTTGTCAACTGTACGGTTCAATGTTTTAGGCTACAAGTCCTATTATGGGTACAGCTGGATTGAAAATAAAATAGAAAACTGTCTTAGCATGCATTTTCTCACAAATGCATGGTTTCCAGAATGCTATTCTAAGATACAAGTACCTTCTACCTGCTAACCCTAGGTGATAGACTAGGTACTTTGGGATGGTATCAGAGGTGTAAGTAAAGTCATCTTTTCAAAAGACCCAAATCTGACATGCCAATTTATGCTTCTAAGTAATCTCTCCTGTACAAATACCCCTCCAAAAGAAAACAAGTAATAATTGCAACTCCTGGAAAAATAGTCATGGACTATTTCTGAAGTATGGAGCAATAAAGCAAGAAACTAACAACTTCCCCTGGCTTAATCTGCACTGCCAAGCTGTTTCCTTGTCACACTGCTTCTGACAAATTCTGTACACCAGGAGTGACTACACCAAAAACTTGTCTTGTTCATTTAAAGGACCTAATATGCTAATTGTATGCCATCAGATGAATAAAACCATCTTTAGCCAATCTAGGGATGTAATTCTGCTCCAGAAGCACAAACCTTACATTGTGGGTGACGTGAAGTAAGTGTTATGCTTCTACACTGAAGATGAATGAAGTAGCCAAGGGTGAGAGTCACTGTGGTAGTGATTCAGGAGCCAGCTACAGCAGTCCCTGGCATGGAACACTGGCCCTGAGGGGTTGCAGCAGGCAGTAAAGTCAGTTTTCACCTACTTCCCCACGTGTCTTTAGAATAAGATTATGTTAGGTCTCAACTAAGCAAATGAAACCATCCAGCTTCAGATAAATATCTATTATTACATCTTCTGTTTAGGTATAGCCATCACAGATATGTTTGGCCACCTTAGAGGAGGTGAGAAGGGGGAAAGCTGGATTCACATTTCAAGCAAAACAAGTTAAAACCTAATTTTTGTTGTGATTAAATAATTATGTGAATTGAAAACATCTGCTTAAGAGCCCCACCGAGACAGAAAGAGGAGGTGGCTCCACTCAAATCCTCCCCCCTCACAGGTCTCTGAGGGCTGCCAGAAGCAGGGCAGAAGACCACTCTCCTCCTCCAGATGAACATGCACACACACAGAGCACGAAAGATGAAAACTTGTGTATGAGACATGTTTTCCCCATGCCTCGGTGGCAAGTACAGAAAAATGAATACTTCTCTGACTAAGGCTGTCCAATCAGGGTTGGTTTACTAACAGTCATTTAATCTCTGTAAAATCTATGGGTTTAAGCAGAAACACCAAATCTCTAGAACAAATTCATCTTTTCACGCAAAGCACAGCTGATCCCTGAACAGTGAAAAGACAAGCTCCCTAGGCTGTGTAATTGCAGCTGAACAATAAGCTGGCTAAAGGAAAGGTTTATCTCAAGGTATCACTTGTCAAGCTCACAGCTTTGAAGGAGGCTGCTTAGCATGAAATGCTGGAGGAACTGGGTGTACGACTACAACCAGTTCTTAGCCCTGGGGTGGTATTTACTCCCACTGCAGTCATGAAGCCTTTGAGACATTGAGAGAACTGCCTTCAGTCTATGGAAAAATTATTAAAGTAGGGAGAGGGAGATAGACTGCCTTAATATGAGTATTAACTTTGTTCTCTGCTGGTAGCAAAGGAGAGTAGTTTTTGTAACTGAAAGAAATTCAAACAGAGGGGAAAAAATGAAGAGCAAACAAAAGCAATACTGGTCAGTTCATTTTGGCACACATCAGGCTGCAGTTCCACTGCCAATGTCAATGTATTACATGCTGTGTAGCTATAAATTTCAGTTATGTTTGAATAAACACCAGCATATAGAATTGCTTTGGGTCTGCCTAATGCAGTCTGTCTGCAGACAGGCCAGAATTGCTGTGTTTCTTCATCTGAATTACCCCAAAATTAAAACTTTAGTTGATCTCAAAGTGCACGTACCTGCAATCCCTTGTAGCAGCCCACAGACGTTAAAAATGCTTTTCTTCATAATGCTCTGCACACACATAGTAAAGACAGACACAAATGCCACAGTGCAGAGAATCATGATTCCCATGGCTAGGAAAATAGCGGTTGCCTGCCAGAACCCACTGGCAATCTCACTGAAGTTTTCAGCGTAAGGACCACAAAGTGTGTCTCGTCTAGAGAACTGCATGTGGGAAATCCTGGTGCAGCGCCCGTAGATGCCCAGCGTTGGTCGGTAGGGCTCCTGCGATCCCCCGGTTCTGTTGTCCACCTCCTCGGCGCTTGAAGGCTTTGCCTTGCCAATCAGCCAGTCTGCACTCATGAAGGCAATGAGCTCTGCAAAAGCCACCACAATACTCAGGAGAGTCCACAGCATCGACCGACACGTCACAATGACATGACACATATTGATGTCCAGTGCTTGTGATCAGTGCAGCACACTTAAAATCCAGACACAAGGGAGAAAAAATTAAATTAAAAAGGGAAAAAGAAAATCACTGTGGCTGCTCTGCCTACTTTCTTGACTCTCCCACAAAGGCTAAGATGAAGCTTCTCAGGAGAAAAAGTGAACAGCCTCAAGTTTTGCAAGCAGTACAATCATTTGCTCTCTCTGCTTAGTTCCTTCTTTTTTCTTTCCGGGATGCTGAGCTCTGAAGTATGCTTCTCTTTCTTAATATTCATACTGGCACATGACACTGGAGGCTGGTGGGGGAGGCTACAAGGACTGCCCACTGTTTGACATCACACACCTACAAGAAAAGAGAAAACACATCAGCAGTGAGAAAAAAAGTCATTTCCACCCCCACAACAAACCAAGATCTGGCACAGATTCACATCAACATACAAAGCTCTGACAAGGGCTGGTCAAACAGAGCCCGCTGGAAACCTCCCTGTTTTGTTGCAGGGGAGTAATTAATCTCCCCCCCAGTGCTGCTAATACTTACAATATCTGCTGCGCCCTATCCCATGGTGGGTGTTTGCAAGCAAAGGTCCTAGTAACACCCAGCGGTCCCACCCACTCCTACCACCACACCCCCATCATCTTCTTATGGTCCAAATTACCAAGGGTGCTGGCAGTCACCCAGCAAAATGTTTGGACACGTTTAAGCAGTTTCACAGATGTGCAGCTCCTGCCTTCACTTTGGGGAGGCAGCACAGCCTGCCTTCGGGACAGAGGCTGAATGCAACTCCACATGCCACGGGCACCTAGGTGCAAGGGGCAAGAATGGAACCTTGCTCCAACCTTCTGGGTTTCTGCTGACGGCAGCTGAGCCAACCCCGCCCCAAGAAGAGGTGAACAAGATTACAGTTGCAGACAGCTCACCCTGTGATGTGGTGACCCCTTTGAAGCCTGGATTTTGCAAGGAGTGGTGCCTCCCTGGGCTTGGGATTGAGGTTTGCACCAGTGTTTCAGGAAAACAATCTGCCTGCAGGTGTGTCACACAACCTCATCTTAAACTGCTGCCAGCACTGGTAGACTTATGCCATTGTAAAGAGGAATCTGTGCAAAAGAGCCCCAGTCACTGCCAAGGGGCCAAAAGGTCCAGTCAGAGGGGTTGCCAGTCAGCCTTGAGCTTCCTCACTCCCCTCAATTCCCCTCTTCCACAGCCCTGTGTATGCTGTGACTGCAGGAAAATGTTCCCCAGGGCCTTACCCAAGCCATTATACTGCCTTTCAGCAGTGGCTGATGACATTCCCAGAGTTACAGTTATCTTAGTACAAGAGGCAGAGATCACTATACTTCCAACTCCTATCCAAATATCGGCCTCAAAATAACAAACAGGTCATCCCACACGTCTCTGCTCTTGAACTGAAACAGTGCTGCCTGAAAGCAAGGGTGGGAGCAGGAAATGCCCTCATGTTACCTCCTCCATGATGAGAATGTAGCACTTCCAAGTTTTCCTCACCAAATCCCAAATACTGACATCGAACTGGAGGCAAGAGAGAAGAACCAGATCTGGACCTCCCTGCTGTGCTGCTGCAGTCAAAATGTCAGAAAAAATGCAGTCAAGATGCCAGAAAAACAGGCATCCCCAGTATTTTTTTTAGGTTTGTCATGGGGTTGGTATTCAGTTTCTTAGGAGTTCTAAGTTGGGTAGTTAAATATTAGTCCCACTGAATGCAAAATGAAACAGACACATGCAACTTCACACATTCAAAATTTCATCCAGAAATTTCTACTCCCCCTGTACTAGTTGTACTGAATCTGCTGATTCCTTTTGTATAAAAGGCTTAAAGCTGATGTGCCAACAACAGAATTTGTCTCCTGTAGCTCAGTGTTATGGCATTGCCTTAAAAAAGGGTTTTTAGACATAGTGAGAAAACAGTTCCGCTAATTTTCCATTTTGGGGGTGTGGGGAGAGAGCATTAAGCTTTCAAGCAACCTTACATACTAATGACTTGAATACACCCTTTGTAATAACAGAGAGCTGAAGCGTCAGCCTGCCAAAGAAAGTTAATTTGCTCAGCAATTCCACTTTAAATAATGATTGGAATGTAGGAAATGTCCACTACAAACCTATATTCTTCTGATGTCATCTGCGTGAATAAAGAGAATGTAACTGAAAACACCTTTATTTTTTTTTAAAGATGCTCCAAAGAGCTCCAAATCCTGTATTTTTCTGCAAGAACTGCACCCATATGAATTCCTCGTCATTGTATTCACAGGATTTTCAGTGAGGTGGAAAGGACATAAGAGCTGAACACCCATAATGGTCATTACTGTTGACTCTGTACTGCTGGATATAAAACACTGTTTATTGAACACAGATGAAAACAAAGTTCATATTTACTTAGGTAGGTGGAAATTCTAGATGAACACTGGCAGCCATAAAAATAAGTCACTGATAACAAATACAGGATGCTATACTAGAAGGAAAGACCAAATCATGGGGTTCTTTCCCAACTGAAATGTAAGCACAATAAATTGCAGCGAAATTTTAAGACAGTATCTCCAGAAAAGTCACTGCATCAACAAAATAACCTGTCTGAAGCTGACCTGGAGTTCAGAATCTCAGGAGTTCAATTCCCTGTTGTGCAACTATGGAAAACTTTGCAGCATCTAAAAGTGAGGTAGTAGATGTCATTGAGAACTACAATTAAATTGAAAATACTTTGGTTTTGAATAAAACCTGTACAGTTTGGCTTTTCCTAGGTAATGAGTACTTTATTCTGGTGCAAAACATACCAAGAGCCAATATACCAATGTACTCTTATTCATGGGAGAACTTCTGTATAAGCTTTTTCTTGCACTAGTGATGTGCTGAAAGGAGAACACCACTCACCTACAAGTCCTTTTTGTCAGACAGACAAAAACACATAAAGTAGGATGGCGAGCACAGAGCAGGGGCAGAGGCATTTCATTCTGAGACCTAGTAAGGAGAGACTGAAGACAAGCTCTAGCTCAGTTACATTTATGTAGTTAACCTTTTCCTCCCAACAACTTCTTACCCCTTTTCCTTCCAACAACCTCCTCCCCACTTTGGCTTTCCCAATGAACCTAACCATCTCTCTCATGTGGCTCCAAAAACACATTTGTGCTATACACGGAAGCCTTTCCAGATACAGGCTGTGCTAAACAACTTTGCTTCATGAAGCTTCACTCTGTTCACCCCCTGCGCTTTTTTTTCTCCGTTTTTCCTCAGCAGACACTCAAACCAGGCCCTTGCAAGGCTGAAAACTAGCTGTTTATTCTTCCTCTCAGTTTCCCATCCCTCAACAAGCTTTTTCCATGACAGAACCATATGTTCTTCACAGCATGCCACTCAGCATCCACTTTTGACCGATTGTCAAAATATTTGCTTTGACAACCCCAATTCAAAATACACAATGGTTCTTTAACCCTTTTGGTATTAACTCACTGAAAGTAATTCTCACTGAGAAAGGAGATTACGAGCAGTAGCCTTTGTCACTTGGACTCCCCCTATTTTTACTCTTGCATTCAGTCACACTGGTGTGGAAGGAGGCTATCCATGCTGGGAAGCAGCCTTGCACAGCACGTGCCCACATGAGCCACACACCACAGCAGCAAGATGGTCTTGGCAGTGCCATTCTGGCCCACCATACAACCCACATTATTTACATTACACACAGCACAGCTCTTGGATGGGCCAAAACTAAACCTTCAGCCTCACATACCTTGGCTACCAGAACCACGCTCATAGTCATGCTCTGCCTTAAGTGAAGTCTGAAGTGAAAAGACGCCGACAAGAACATCAGATCCTCAAAGCATCCAAAGAGAGTAAGAGTTCTCAAATGCAAAATTGTTTTGGCTGTTTTAATCTAACCAATCAAGCCAACTTAAAACATTGCAAAAAAGTTTCTTTCTCTTCAGATTCTATTTTGACACTGCCTCCAGTCATACTTTCACATCCCTACCTAGGACTGTTAAAGTGTTGCCTTTTACTATACAATATGTTCAAAGTATATAAACAATGTTTATTTTTCTGAACAAGATAAAGAAACAAAATTGCCTCCATTTTACTCACACTGCCAGAAACAGAAAGTGAGAAGCTTCTCCAAATTGTAATATTTGAATTATGGTTTTGATTTTGAAGATGTTGAGCTGCAGGCATACCAGGCAGATAGAAAGCAACAGCTGCAAAGTTCAAATCTGAGTCAATCACATACCATGGCTGTTTATTTAAAAAAGGTGTCCAACAAACGAGGTACAAGAGAACCACAAGTACCTTGCAGAACAAATGTTATGGCCAGTCCTTCATGCTCCCACTATGATTTGACTGAAGTCAGAGGCTTAGACTATTATTCAGCTTTTGCCCTTTCCAGCCTGGTTCTGTCAGCTCAAGAGTGAGAGTAAATCATCTTCAGATAAGTGGCTTTTGGCTTGGCTTAAGCAAACAGCTGAATCGAAGGCCACACAGACTGCTGAAGCCATCCTGGTTTATAAAATAAATCCAAGCACAGTTAGACATTTTCTTCTAATGTTTGTTGGGGTCCAAAGCACAACTACATAGAAGAGTTTCTGAATCTTATTTACCATACACAAGCTTGAGCATCTCATAATGCAAAACGTTCAAATCTTGGAAGCCTGAGTTCTGATTTTTCTGGAATGTTGTTCATTAGCAGTCATAAACTTTCCTAATATGCTTTGAACTACAAGCGTGGAAGTGGCTCCTATTTGTGTTGATGCTGACTCACTATTTAAAACAAACAGAAAGAGGCTCACATACTGAGACTCTTAATTACCTTAAGCTGACCCCCACCCAGGTTGACATGAGCTCCCACTTTAAAAAGCTTCCATCCTTAGGTGTTATGGGACAAACAAATTATCCAATTGTGAGCTCACCCTGCCTGGCAGAGGTAAGAGGTAAACCACTGAGGTAAGAGGGACTACACTTAGGAAAATGTGGCATGAGCACTAGAGATTTTCTGGGTAAGTGGTAAATGTTCGTAAATAAACTTCTCCTCCACCTGGTCCTCTCAGCATTCTTACAGGAGATCCTGTTCCAAAGAAGATGGCAGGTTTCTGCCAACTTCCCTGAAGTCTTCAAAGCAGCAGAACAGAAAACAAGTGGCATTTGTCAGGAGATAGAAAGGTGTACCTGTGTTTTTCTACCCCACACACTTAGAGGTGACTTGCAGGTGTAAGAAGTACATTCATCACATTCCCCTGTCACAAGAGAACAGCAACAAGGATTATTACTTCAGGAAAGGCCAGCTGTCCCAAATGGTTTGGTGTAGGCTCTCTCTGCAGACCACAAGGAACTCTTCTGGCACTGGTTTTTCATAAGCACTACATACCACAGGAAGCACCTGGACCAATAAGAGGGAAGGACATCTCATTGTGTCTTAGTTTTGTTTTCTAAATGTAACACATTTCAAAGTGATCACAAATATTCAGTGTCAGATAAAAAAAATGGAGAAGGTGCTTTAAAGCTGAAGTGGTTGCACAGCTTCAGAGAAATAGCTGAGAATAAGCAAAGGATTCTCCATTCACCTACGTATTTTGGTCAAATTATTGCCAACCTTAACAACATTCCAGAACAGAGCTTCTACTTGAAGAAAACAGAGCAAAGTTTTGATTAGTCTTCACTTATGAATTAAAGAGTGAATATTTGCATATCTCATGAGTATTTAACCATTATAAACTTCCACAGGCATATAAATGAGTGCATTATTGTGACAGCTAGTTGAAAACACATCAGACTAAACAGATGAATTTCACTGGTAATGGAAAGAA